TGGGGAATTCTGGGAGTTGAAGTCCACCCATCTTAAAGTTGCCAAGGGGCTGGCTGGGGAATTCTGGGAGTTGAAGTCCACCCATCTTAAAGTTGCCAAGGTTGAGAAACACTGCTCTAGAGAACCCACTTGCATTACATTCTCACAGAATGTGCCTGGCCCAGCTTTCAATTATATCTGCAAATGCTTAGAAAAGACTCTTAAGAACATCTGACATTTCCAGCTTCCAAACATACATCTCCATGCCAGCCTGAGTGGAAATATTTTTCATATGTCGACCCCGGGGATTTGTACTCTTGGTTGAACGGGCAGCAATTCTCTTCCTGCCTTCTCAAAATTGCACCATACAGAATATTAGCCCTTGCGTCCGAACTAGGTCAGGGACTGGAATTCAAAGACCTTTTTGATCATCACAGTCCCTGACTGAACCTGGATTAGCACTCTTTTTCCCAACACCTTTTTTTCAAATGCGAGGTGCTGGACAAAACTAAGGCTTGCCTGCTGAGTTTTAGTCTAAAAAGAAGCGTATTGGCTGAAACGAGATGGGAGTTAATGCTCCTGGAAATGTGACAGTGACCGGTTCAGCATAGCTTCGATCGCAGCACTGGAACGCCATCTGTTATGGCTTCTCAAGACAACAGACTAGGTTAGGAAGCTCAGAACAAACCAGACAGCATAGCAAAGAATGGTGTTGGGGCATAGGAGGATGGCTGAGGGTTGCTCAGCCTGATTCTTGTTCCGGCACCTGCAGGATTCTGTCCAGGGGTAAGGATGACCCTACTTGGAACCAAGAATCTACCTTGCCAGTCTGTGAGAATAAAAGCAAGAAAGGGCCCCTTAACTGCTGCTCAGAAAGCTTTAGAGCCATGTTTCTCAACCACAGCAATTTTAAGAGGGGTGGACTTCAACTCCCAGAATTCCCCAGCCAGCACACTGGCTGAGGGATTCTTGGAGTTTAAGTCCACCCCCCCTAAAGTTTTTGAGGTTGAGAAACACTGTTTTAGAGGGAGGGTGGTCAAGTATAAAAAATGAAATAAAGTGTTAAGACATGTCACAAGTCCAGCACAATGACCCGATTGTTCGAGTTAGCTGGCAAGTCATCCAGACCAGGCTGGCCTGGTCAAATTAGTTCTGTTTGGCAAGGAAGCTCTATTACAGGAATTTGCTCACCTAACGAGAAAATTGGGAGTGTTGCTGCTTATTAAACAGGTTTGTTTGGAAGGAAGGCGATACAAAACGGTCCTGTGGTCCCATCGCTGGAAGACCTGGTGGGCCAAATTTGGGATTGCTTAATTTGCTGGAATTAAGGATCATGCCATCACATTATTCCAACCCCATGGGAACAGGGGCTGGATCCACAGCTGAGGGTTGGGAAGAAGTAGCTGCAGAATATTGTCTGGATTTTCTCTAGAAATACAGGGATTCCAGAGTAGAGAATGGCTTCTAATGTGTGCAAGAGATGCCTAGAGTGGTGTTTCTCAACCTCAGCAACTTTAAGCTGTGTGGACTCCAACTCCCAGAATTCCCCAGCCAGCCAGGGAATTCTGGGAGTTGAAGTCCATGCAGCTTAAAATTGCTGAGGTTGAGAAACACTGGTCTAGAGCAATCTGGGTTGTATTTTTCCCCCATACATTTCCCTCCAAAGCTAATAATAGCAGTTAGAATGGAGAATTTTACTATGAGGATCATTACATTACAAGAACATTACCTGCCCAGAGATCTCAGGATGGGCCAGGTGACAACGGCTACACCCTTGTTGCTGCTCCAGAGAAGTTTCCTGGGTCTGTTACCTATAACCACTGTATGTCAGTCTACCCAGTTTTGCCTACAGTGGCTCACAGTGATCAGAGAGGAGGTCCTCTGTTCAACAGTTGAGAACCTCAACTCAGAAAGCCATTTGCAAAAGATTTAGGACTTCCAGAACACAAAGCACAGGCTCAACTTTCATCAGTTCTGAAGTTGCAGGTCAATAAATCAGGAGGGCACGAGGTTGGGGAGGCACCAAGGCTAGGCTAGGCTCACTCAATAAGCCAACTGGGTCAGGCCAAGACCTTGCCTTGCACTCACACAAGAGGCTATGCTTGATTAGTGTTACTGTTAGGGTTTTGTGCTGTGTTTTCTGCTAAGTTTGTTGGGTGAATTAGTTCATTTATGGATCAACGTATCAACACAGGGGCATCTGTGGGAGGATATCTGCACGATTGGGGTCAAAAAAATCAAGATGGCGGCCTTGGCTGTACAATCGAAGCCCAGCTTTGTGCCATCTTGTTCTCTGAGACCCTCCCCCACCCACACCCCTGGATCACTGTATTGCATGAAGCCAGAGAAGGGGTTAACTCTGTAAGCTGATTAAGGGCATTGTCTGAAAGCAACCCTTCTGACATGAAGGTCAGATTCTAGTTTGAGCAAGCCCTTGACAAACTGCCTCTTGGTGGGTTGCATTCTCTTCTGAGACCATGGCACTCGCCTCCGTGCGCTTCAAAAGCCCCCAAGTGCCCTTGGGATCCCCATTCAAAGGAAAAGGGATCTTAAAGCAACCCCTTTAACCATGTTGGAGAAGCCAAAAAGTCAAAATAGTGGTTGCATCCATGGGATTGAAGCCCTGCCTCTTTTTTTACTGCCACCATTTTGACTTTTTTGACCCCCATGGATTCCCTGCCCTCCTGGAAACGTTGAAATCGTCAGGACATATGGAAAGTAGTGCTATGAATCCGATGCTCCAGCAGAAGGTGGGAAATAAAACAGTAGGTGGGAGGAAGGGTGGTGCTGGATTCCCGGAGAGGGGCCGTGGTGTCAGTGTCCTCACAGTCCCTGTGTCCTCCCACTCCCCTCCTGGATTTCTGGCCACCTGTCCCAGCACAGCCCCAGCGGCCCCAGGTCAGCATGCTCCTTGTTGTTGACTCATTGAAACCTTTCTTTCTGGCAGTTGCTTGTTCTCTGGCTGTTTCCCAGGTCACTGCTGATAAGGTTGGCTTGTTGATTTCCAACACTGGAGTCATGTGAAAAAGAAAGGGAGAGAGAGGGGATGAAAGACAGGGAGGAACACATCTTAGTGTGCAAAAAAGGCCTGCTCATCTGGACAGGGAGAAAAGCACCGAGGACCAGAGAGACCACGTTGCAACATGATGGGTGATGCGGTCCTTGCAATAGGGAAATGGCCAAACTGGTCAACCACAACTCTTTGTGTGCCCGGGCTACCAATTCTGGAGCCTGTGCTCACACAACGTGCTTAATCTGGTTCCAAATTCACCCATTTCCTGGTTTTGCACAGTGTGTGAAACCATAATCTAATGAAACAGGCTGGGTGTGCCTGGCACATGAAGACACACACCACAACTGAGGTTAACACAATCCAAGCTGGATAACTTAGGGGCACACGGCTCCTGGGACTTTTAACGGCCCTAGCAAAGGGTTTTGTGAGAATCTATACAACGTGCTCAGCAGGAGGGGAGTTGCTCGGTGAAGACCCTCTTAAAGAGAAGTGGGGAGACAGTTTTAAAGAGCCTTGGAAGCCGGTGGAAAGGAAATTGAGTCTGATAGCTGGGAAATTGCCAGCTCCGCCATTCCTTAAATAATAGGAACGCACAATTTTTTTCCAGCTGAGGACAGCATTTGAGTGGTAGAGGAGGAGCAGTGAGGCCAGGGCACAACCTCAATCGGATTTGGTTTGATTGGTATCTACTGCAAATGAAAGACAATGAGCGCGACTGCTCTCCGATCGTATCTTCAATTGTTCATCTTTTCATCGTATTCGAAAGAAGGGACCGGGCATCGGCGTGCTGGGCCAAATCTGCTTTTGATTTGATACGTCCTGGAGCTATCATTCTTGCTAAGAGATTTTGATGGAGCTGAGGACCCAATTCACCTCCCAGGCCTAGAAACCCTGTTGTAAAGTCTTTGCAAAGTCCTGGTAACTTACAGTCTGAGGTTGCATTTTGCTCTCTCTCTTTGAGAGCCAGGCTACATTTGCATCTACGCCCTGAAAGTAGCACATTGGATTTAGTTCCCCAAATGTTCTCCTGACTGTATAGATCGGCGAAAGGAGGAGAGAGAGAGATCTTTCCGTTGCTCTCCCTTCTCCAGCATCTACAGCTGCGTTTACGTGTTTCCACGTACTTTGGCACCTAGGTCTATCCTGCAATGCAATGGAACCTAAGCGAACCCTGTTGCTGCAGAAGGAGAACGCTGAAAATACGTGCGGGGCTCAGTTTAGGTGTGCTTGCAGTCACATCCCTCACAATACATGTGGGGCGAACCCACATGGCTGCTCCAATTCTCCCTCCCAGCCCTTCTCTTCAGTGCTTCTGAGTTCAGCTGCTCAACAATCGTTAAGCCCAAAGTGTGACATCTCAAAGTCTTTGCATTCTCCTCTTCTGGATAAGCAAAGAGGCCACCAAGTAGAGTTGGATCCCCAGTGACTGGATGCCTACCTTGGTGTCATTTTTTGGGGAACATATGGAAGTGATTTCCCACTGTCTGATACAGTGTTTCTCAACCTTGGCCACTT